AATGTGTCTTTGACCCCTAGGCCAGTGCATTACCTCTACATCTTGCTACTCCTTTATTTGTCAGAAGGCAAGAATTCAGTGTGGCCTAAAAAGCACCAGACCCACCATCTGGAGCCCTGGAATCTGGTCCAGACTTATGAGCTTGGTAACTTTCAGCAAGTTGTTTCCACCTCTGGATCTCAAGTTCTTCCTCAGTGGGTTGGACTGACTTTCTGGTCCTCGATCTTTTCCTACCTCAACATTCTGGATAGCTGCTGCCCAGCCCATTCAATAGTAATGATAGTAGAATTATGTATTAGTCAAGTTTCTGCAGAAAAACAGAACTAATAGAATAGCTATAGATAAATAGAAAGAGATTTATTATGAGGGACTGGCTCACATGATTATGGAGGCCGAGCAGTCCCATGACCTGCAATCTGCAAGCAGGAGGCCTAAGAAAGCTGGTGGTGTGGTTCCAGTTCAAAACCAAAGGGCTGAGAACCAGGGGGAGCCAATGGTGTAAGTTCCAGTCTCAGCCAAGGCCCGAGAACTGGGGGACTGATGGTGTAAGTTCTCATCCAAGCCCAAAGGCCCAAAGCCGAGAATGCTAATGTCCAAGGGCAGGAGGAGATGGATGTCCCAGCTCAAGTAGAGAACAAACTCACCCTTTCTCCACCATTTTGTTCTATTCAGGCCCTCAACAGATTGGATGATGCCCACTGTATTGGGGAGGGCATCTTCTTTATTTGGTCTATAGATTCAAATCCTAATCTCATCCAGAAACCCTCACAGACACACCTAGAAATAATGTTTTTGCTAAATATCTGGGCATCCCTTGGCCCAATAAGTTACACATAAAATTAACCATCACAAGTTATATGGAACATTTATTGAATACTTACTATGTATCAGATGCTGAATGCAGTATTTTCCTCATATTGTCCTCAGCTCATAATTTTGTATTATATTGTATCATTATCTCCAATTTAGAAAAAAGAAAATTGGCTCAGAGAATTTAAGAAACTCATAAGGTCACACACCTGGTAACTAACATAGCCCTTTTAATTCATTCCTACCTAATATCTAGGTATTTGTTCTTAGTCCCTACATTTACTGTTCCTTGTAGTCATGATTCTCAAATGGAGTAGGGGGAAGGTTATGTCCCCCAACCCATGGTCATATCATGATATTGGAGAGGGTTAATTTGCAAAAGTCTACTAGATTTAAAAAAGCCCCCTGGGGTACTCCTACTTGAATATCGCTGAAGTTGGTAATCTTTAGGCTTCTTTTATAGCCAGTCTTCTATGACTTTGGGATCCTACTCCTGAGAAGGAAGAAAATTTTCATTGTTATCGTTTGCAATAAGGTTGAATCTAGTAAATTCCATTGCTTTTTGTTGTTCTCTAAAAGCCTGCATAAATCTGCCAGTCATCAGTTCCTCTTTGTCTCCTTCAATAACTCACTGTCTTCAGAGCAGCCTCTGATCAGAAACATCATTAAATCAGCTCTGATTTGTCTTCTTATCTTACCTCTTAGATAACATATTAACTATGCCCACTGGATCACCTACGGTGCTTCTCTAATTAGACTGCCAAAGGCATAATTTTGTTCATATTGCTATAACAACAGATAACCGTGTCACTAATAGCTGTGATCCAATTATAAACTGTACATCAAGCAATTAATATCTTTAGGTTGGCAAATATAAGTTGACTGAGGGTCACTATAAATGAGTGACACCCACATTTTGATTTCTTATATCTGAAAGATGTGTTATACGTTCCAACAGGATATTGGATCGTGAGAACACCCCTTCTGAAAAGACTGGTGGAAAAGATCTGTCATCAGAATCAGACTATCGCCTGGGCATATTTTCATGTATTTCTCTTCCTGTCCTCAGTGAAAGTTGAGGAGAGGGGAAATATCTAAAAATAGGTGGCATCCTTAACTTAAGGAGACGATTGGAAGAGTCCTCTTGAGAGTTGTTCCTGGAAGCTTATGTAGATTTTTAAGAGCTAAAATGTACCATTAGAGTAGAAAAAGGATGACCATCACATTTGGTTAAACTGCCTGTGGAGGCACTGCCTTTTTTAGTATTTTCAGAGCACATGGTGTGGTGCCTTACCTCTGCCTGGTAGGAATATTCTTACTAGATGAAGGGCTGCACAAAACCTCAGCTGTTTCTCATTCCTAGTGGGGCTTTTCTTTCTTCTCCTTGCCCTTTCCCCTCTCCTTGACTCTGACTCTGGCTGTGCTGCATCTCCCCACACCTCACATCCTTGCATCTCAAGCTTTAGCTGCAAAGAATGGGGTGGGGAAGGGGAAAGATGAAGGGATATGCAAATCTATCTTATCTTTGTCACAAGAGCCCACTAGAGCAACACTTCTATCTGCACGTTCCATTGGTCCAACCATTAATCTGCTCCGCTAACTCAGTCTGTTTCTAACATTCATAGCTCAGGAATACTTGGAGTTTCATATTCATCACAAATAAAGTTATTTCCCAAGTACATTCTATTCCAAATGTACAAATAAAGCAAAGCCTACAATTTTTGCCACTACCTCACTATCCACATTATCTCCATCACCATTTATTGAACACTACTGTGAACTTATGCTAAGTGCTTTACATGTATAATTCTCTCCCTTCTAGCTCAGCTTTTAATTTTTCATCACTGGAAGAGATCACCCTGATCAAACTTTGGCCCTTATTCCCTGGACTAGGTTCGCAGGAGCCGCATGGAACCCTTGTCTCCTTTCTTGCACAAGAACTCCCCACGTCAGCCTCTTATCTCTAGAGTTCCTGTTTTGGCCTTCATTAGATCCTATTCTTTGTCCTTCCGTTCCCCAAAGTGTCCTCTTAATGTCATCAATATGTGAAATTTTCACTCCAATGTCAGGTAGAAGAGAGAGCAAAGAGAGAGGGACCTTCATTCAGCTGTCAGGATTACTGCTCTTGTAATTATTTCTTGAATACACTTTGCATAGGAATACACAAAAGCTTGGCACCACAGTTTCATTAATACCTTGGGTATATTGTAATTCAATTGGTTTTTACAGGTTAGCCAAAAAAAAAAAAAAAAAAAAAAAAAATCCAACTCTAAGAATGTTTCTTTGTAATATACATGCTGACTTGTAAACACTGGATTTACAAGTGACATTTTGGAGCATAATCCACTGATATGTTGGATATGGTCTACATTTTTGGGGAGTATAGAGCAATACAGAAAAAGTTGCATTTTTGTGACTTGAAGAATTAACTTTAAAACATTACTTTTAGGAGTAGCAATGTCTTTTTCTACATGGGACTTGAGTTGTCCCATAAAAAAATGAAATTAAGTTTTAAGTGAAGTGTATAGTTTTCTACTCCAAATCTAAGCAACAGGCTAAAATACTTGGCAACTGGAGAGAACAACATTGGAAAGTATGTTTCTTCAGGACAAGACTGGTATCTTTTCCATCTCTGTTTCTTCATAGTCTAGTTTGGTTAGCTCCTGGCATAGAGTCAGATTTCAATAAATGTTAGTGAATGTGTTTTGAATGAACAGCTTTTAAAACAGACATTAATGTCTGTCTATGCAAGCAAGTATTCCAAACCTTAAACTCAGAGTAAGAACTAAATTATTTATCTTAAACTGAGTTTCTCCCTTTCTTCCCAAATACTTTTCTCTGATGCCTATTTTTATAGTGTGCAATTAAAGGTTGGTGAATGGCTGTTACAAATGATGGAATATTGGTTGAATGCCCAGACTAGGAGGAGAGCTTCACACCCTGTCTTATTCTTATCACACTATCTTTGGATGAGGGAGTCAAGAGTTGATTTGGAGTTTTTGTATTTAGGCTGTTACTTGGTTCATTATTTGTCTGGAGTCCTTTACGGCTGATAAACAAGAGGAAGAGTTCTGAATGTGGGCTCCTTGAGGCAAGATCATGTCCTGTTGATCTTCATGCCCCCTTTTAACATCTAGCTTAGAGAAGGAAGACAACAACCACCATTTGTTAAGTACCTAATAACTGAGGCACTGTTCTGGGCAGGTTATACACATTGTGCCATTTAATTAACATAATAGTCTTATGACATAAATTGTTCTCAATTTAGAGTTGAGAAAACTAAAGAATACAGGCTTAAGGAATTTGCCCAAATTACATAGTTATAAAGTTTACCATGGAACATCCAGGGCCTAGCTAGTACCTGATAACATAATAAATGTTCGATAGTAGCTGTTCTAAGGTCTGTTTTTCTTTGAATGTTCTGACTCTCCAATAATGTGTTTAATAGCAACAACAATGGTTTGAGACATTTTGGTGAATACACAATGGTTTTCATGTTTGACATACACATTATAAACACTCATCTAATTATATATATAGACACAATTTTTTTTGTAAAGCAGAATGGTGGGGGTTTTCCATCTTTTTTTTAATTTAAAAACATTTTCTGAGAACCAACCAGTAAAACTGATTTTGGTATTTCAGATAAACAGGTATGTTTCTATCAGTATCATAAAAAGCTCAGTTTTGTGAGGGAGATAGACAGGTGAACAGAAAATGACAATGTGGTAGAAATGAATGCTATTCTTTTCTCATGTGCGTGTGTGTGTGTGTGTGTGTGTGTGTAATATATACATACATACATATATATGTGTAAAATCAATGGTTGGGTTTGTTGAGGGACTCCTCAGTTCTACCTCAGAGACTGAGATAGAGGAAAGTGTATTGAGGAAAAAATATTTGAATTGAGACTCAAATGACCAATTATTGCTTAATAGCCAGATAAAAGAAAGGCATTTAAGGCAGTAGGAACAGCAAGTACAAAGATAAAAGATATGAAAAAACCTGCAAGATATTTAGTTTGGCTGGATGGTGATTTGCATTTAAAGTTATCATGGGAAGATGAGGATGAGGAAGTAATAATAATAAATACCATTTATTATGCATCAATTAAATTGCTAAGAGCTTCACATAATAATCTTCATTATTCCTGGCAACAACCCATGATTATTATTCTTATTTTAGGAATAAGGACACACAGGCCTTGGGGATTGAAACTTTGGCTTAGTTCCAAAGTTACACAGCGAGTGAGTGACAGAGCCAGATTTGAATCAGGTCAGTCTGATGCCAAAGATATTGTGCTTTACCACTATGGAACTCCCCTTTCCAAAGGTAAAAATGCAGCATTGAAAGAGTCATGTAGGCTCTGCTAATAAATTTGGATTTTATTTTGCTTGATATGAGGAGCAATGCAAAGATTTCAGAGCATTTTTTTTTTTTAAATCACTTTTTAAGAATTAGATTATGGACATCCTGGAGGATGGGATACCAAGGAGAAAAACTTTTCATTCAGAAAGAGATATTATTGAGGCTTGAACCAAAAGAATAGAGGTGGGAACAGAGATAGAGATGGAGCCTATGAATTGTTCAAGATAAAGAGGGTAAGATTTGATGATTGATACATCAAGTGAGGGAGAAAAATGCTGAGAGTAATTCCCAGTGTGGAGATGTGGTTAACTTGCACTGTGATGCCATTAGCAGAGGATTACTGGAAAAGAAATGGGTTTGAGTCAAAAAAATGAAGAGTTACTAAGGTTAATTTTAAGAGTAAGGATTTTGAGACTGCTCTAGACATCAAAGTGGAGAAGATAAATAGTCACTTGAGATGGAAGCTCAGGAGGTTCCAGAAGAGTCTGTGTTAGTTCTTTGATTCAGAAGTCATTAAAGTGAAGCATAAATATTTTAAAGGAATGATTAGTGGCAGAGGAATCATCTAAGGAATTGCGAAGGATCTGCCAGGATGATGGTGAGAGGACCAGAAAAGAGAGCATCGTTATGGACGATACGATCTTATGAACAGTCAGGAAGAGAATGGGAAGTGGGGACAGGGAGGTGGGCTTCTCATGCAAACAGGGTGATGGGAAATCAGCAAGAGAGGAGAGAGACACAGGGACAAGGCGAACACATATTTTCGTAAGCCGAGTACAAAGAATTGGTAGTGGCGATTAAGACAGAAAAAGGAAGAAGACCCAGCAAGCCACTGGGGGAGGAATGTGGACCAGAGAGACCTGACCTCCTCTGAGCCAGGTAGGATGGAGGTGAGTTGAGTGAGAGGCAGGTGAATTTGAAAGCAAGGACTGGTGAAAAATTATTTTCTCACAAGAAGTTACGAGTTGTTTTAATTTTAATGAGTCATCGTCTAAGTGATGCTATTAAATAATCAACTCAAAAGCAAAATGCTCTTTCCTCACAAAGACCTTGGGTAAATTGACAGGACAGTCATCTTGAGGGAGTTTGAGACTCTGAGAAAGTCATGTAGTGTCCCTCTCACCTCCTCCACAAATATTCTTACATAGGTAAAAACAAACAAACAACAACAAAAAAACAAAAAAAGAGGTTAAAATGAACATGGTGGGGATCCCTGAAGAGAAATATGAGATCCATAAAGAGTTGAAATAATGGCCATACTTGGTAGCTTTTATTTCCCACAGTCCCTCCAGGCCCCACTCCTGTGCTGGTTTTTCCTTCTTTCTGGTACACTGTCTTCACCACAACTTTTTCTTCTTACCTTCTTACTACAAGCTCATCACCCTTTCTTCTCGGATACTGGGAGTACTTATTATATTGCTCTTTGCTGCCATCCCCACCTATCATTCATTAGAACTATTATGTGTGCACACATTCTATTTATCCTATTTAATGTTATGTGTCTACTGTATAGGGAATGTTGTCTACTTTTTCGTTGATCCTCCATGATCCCTTGCTATTAGTGAACACTGAAGAAATATTTACTAAATTAATAGAACTATTAATTGACTCAAAAGAAAAATCCTCGTTCCTCACAAGGACTTTGGGTAAATTGACAGGACAATCATCTCGAAGGAGTCTGAGACTCTGAGAAAGTCATGTAGTGTCCCTTCCACCTCTTCTTCTAGGTAAAAACAAACAAACAAAAAACAACAAAAACAACAACAACAGCAGATTAAAACAAACATGGTGGAGATGACAAAACAAATCCAGTTTAGATGAATAGAGCTTGTAAGTGTAGGACTTAAGACTGTTCAGAACTGTCTTGTGATTCCCAGACCTTATGCTCTTACCCTAAACTCTAGAAGGAATAAGCAAGTGCTAAGGGGGCGTGTAAGGGGAGGAAAAAGTGAAGGCATGCATTAAAATAGAGGCTCAGATGACCCAGGCAAATACCAGCAGTATCACTTTTTACTCTCCCAGAAGCCACTTGCGATGTATGCCTGTGTCATAGCCTACCTAGTTACTCTCTGACGTGAGGACCATACCCAATGTGCTGATCTAGAACTCTGGCTGTTCTTTGTGGATGTCTCTGATAGTATATATAGATTCATTGCTGCTGCCTTTACCAGAATGACACTTTGCTTTGTTTAGCACAATTATCCCATTTAAAACAAACTCATTTTATATATAGGCTTGCTGTAAGTAGTTTAGAGTAGTATTATCTGTGCTGCACCTATCGCACATTGACATATTTTAAGTTATTTGTGTACACATCTGTACATTTGTAAAAAAGGGTCAAATAAAATGCATTTGTAAGTGAAAAAGTTGTAGTATATAATTACCAACAGACTGGCACCAGATAATATTGTGTCTTCTCATCATATTTCTCCCTTAGTTCCCTTTATAACCACATTAGTGCCTTTTTCTTCATTTGAAATTGGGTTGTTCTTAGCTAATTGCCAAAACCCTCTTTCAAATTATTAACTGAGAATAATTTAGAGTAGTACATTTACCAAGAATATTTGTAGTTTAACAGCATATGACTCTCTAATGGTAGATTTCATTTAGTGAATTACACGGTGAAGGAAGAATATTTTTGCAGCTATTCTGCATGATGTTCTTAAAAATTACATTTAGATAGCAACCACCTATTATGTCTAAAAATGAAGCCCACCTGGATAAGTAGTATATGAATCATACAAAAAGAAAGGCCTTGTCATATAAGAATCTATGGTAATATAGTGAGATTTAATTTGCTTCACTAATCCTTCCTTACATTCTGCCCCTCCCTTTTTCCTCTGTATCAAACAAGACATCATTTTTATCTCATTTTATGAAAATGTAAAAAATACTCAGTGCCATATTCAACCTTTTCCTTCTTTTCTAATTGTTTGGTAGAGATGAAACTGAAGTTGAAAAAAAAAATCCCATTTTTGGAATAATATTTTTTCTGGCTTAACTTGTCCTGTCAATGCACTTCATTTTTATAGCTCTAACATTAGTAGCCTTGACAATGGGTATCTTTTTCACTCTACGCTGCTTAAAATCTTGTTAGTAGAGTCTCTCTCTGGTATCACAAATCTTATTTCTAAAGGCCACTAAATTAAGAGTGTATAGAAAACTGACTCGGGGCTACCAAATGTGTTTCTCAGTCCCTTGACCCTTTATTTTGCTTCCAATTATCTATGAAATGGGCACCAGATGAGTCCTCATGAATTGCCTATAAGAAAACAAGAGCATTGAAAGAAAATGTGCCATAATTGCCCAATGGGATGATATGCCTTCACTTACTGTTGACATATAGCATTTCATAGACAGTGGGCCCTCAGGGAGCAAACTACGAAGACGTTTACAGCAACCACGAAGATACATGAATGCTTGGAGCCACCAGGTTACATTTATTTACTGCCAAGATACACAGAATACAATTCTATAGTCGAGTTACTTCCTCTTTTGAAGAACCAAAAAGACAGTAAATGTAGTTGAAAACAGAGAGACAGATTGTGGTCAAGCTCACAATAGGCCCAGTGAATGGACAATATCTCCGGGTTGTGAGTTGCGGTTCCTCAGGAGGGATGGTTGGTCTAGAAAGAAGCCACTGAATGAATTCTTCTAACTTGGTAGCACTGAGAAAAAATCTCCACTTTCCTCCATGGACAAAAGTTAGCTTGATCCATGTACTAAAGTCTGGGTAAATATAAATATTTGACTTTGCTTTTTTAAAGCTTAATGCATTTTGATGGTTATTTTTCTTCAAAACTTTAATTTGAGAAGAAATTGTTTTTTCTTCAAGGTGATCAGTGGGCTTGGAATAACTACACACTTTCTCTGGTTCTGCTGAAGAGATATCAGGGTCTGTAGAGGCCAATGTGTTTTTCAAAGTTTCCGGTTGTATGAGTTTGTGAAGCAGTTCCATGACCTCTTTACCCTTCTGTCCTTCCAGGATTTCTAAACAATGTATGCCTGAGCAAGAATTCTGGTTTTCCAGTTCTGTCACCTTCTTCTTTAAAGCATCAATGTCTTCTTTCATAGAGAAGATATCTTTAGTTATAGTGCATTGTTTGTCTTCATTAACATTCATTCTGGTTTCTAGTACCTCCATCTGCTTCTGATAAAAGTCAATCTTTCCTTGGATTTTTGATACTGTGCTGACAACATCAGTCATTTGCCTGAGGATTTCAATTTGTGAAGTTTTAATATCTTGGAGCATTACTGTATGATTCATTTCTTCGTCAGTACTAATGTCATCTTGATCACAACCGTAGGAAGTCAAAGTTGGATTTCTAGTTGAATCTGGATGCTGGTTCTTACATTTATGGTAAACATTTTTAAAAGATTGTCTGATCTTGGAGAGATTTGAAGTCCACATCTGCCCAGCAGCAGCTTTTGCCCTTTTGGTTTGAAGTTTGTACATCTTTTACAGTGAAACAAGGGGCAAGATGTTGGGAGACCTGATGAGAATTAAAGAAAGGAGCAGTGTAAGAATGAAATGGTCTTTCTCTTACTATTTGTTGGCTGTCTTTCCTGGTAACATTGTAGAATGCCCCATGGAGAAAATCAAGGGCAATAGTAGGCACTCTAGGTGGTTAGCTTCCTACAGGGCAGTGCAATTGGAGAGCTCTGTGAAACAATGGTGTCCTGCATGGAATCCTTCAAGTGGTGGTTACTGACCTGATGCTGATGTCACAATGGCTGTAGGCTTAGAAAACATTTAACTTTAAGGCAGTATCTTCAAAATTTTTTGTCACAAGACTCTTTTTCCCTTATAAAAATTGAAGACCACAGAACTTTAATTTATATGGGTTATATAAATTGATATTCTATATTAGATATTAAAACTAAATTAAAGAATTTTTAAAAGTCTTAAGATATTAATTTATTAAAATAAAGACCCATTACATGTTAACATAAATGACATATTTTATGAAAAATTATTACATTTTCCAAAAGAAAAAAATAGTAAGAGTGGCATTGTTTACATATTTGCAAATGTTTTAAATATCTGGATTAATAGAAGACACCTGGAACACCTGGATTCTACTTCTGCATTATATCTGTTGTGAAATGTTGTTTTGGTTGAAGTATATGAAGAAAATATGGCCTCACAGAAATATGTAAATGAAAAAGTGAGAGAATTTAATAGCCTTTTCAGGTAATTGAGGATTTTATTCTTTGCTACTTTGACAAAATTTGACAAATGATAATTGTTTAGAAATTAGTCGCAATGTGTAATTTTAGACCAGATCGGTACTTTTACATTAAAATTCACTGGCCTTTCTTCCATTTTGAACAGATATATAATATCATGCACTGGTCATTTGGAAAATAATGATTCACTAAATTATGCAGATCTTACAAATGGTAACTTACTTTATTATATAATATCACATTCATTAATATCACCATCACTCTCACCAGAAAAGTCTTTGAGGCCAAGTTCATGGTGGCAGATAAAATTTTCCAAAATTTTAATTTTAGCTTAAAATTTATTAAGATTCTGTGTTGTTTTCCTCAAAGTGACAGGCTCCTAACATTCTTTTTTTTTTTCAAAAATGCTTGCTAAATAACCAAATATGAATATTATCGTATGCTGCCAGTTTTCAAGTAAAAATTGTATTTCATGAAAAAAGCAGCTAGTTCAGTTTGTAACTCAAATTAATACTTTTCCTGGAGACAACTTTGGTAAGCAGCAGACATGTTTATGTGTACTTCCCATTACATCACACAATATTAAAAAGATATACTGAAAGATTGATATTTAATAAAATTAAAAATGTTTACTGCTTCATCAAGAACATTCTAGAGCTAAATTGGCTTTTTCTTGTTTTTTTCTTTTTTTTTCCTATAATTTAATGGAGGTGAGAAATATAGTCACTATTGTTACAATTTAGGACCACTGCCTTGGTTTGTGCTAAGGTACCAACGATTTTATCCAACATTGTTTTTGCAATGCAATTTGAAAAATATAAATACCAACATAGTGAAAAAATTATATAGTGCCCTGATATTATTTTGAAATATTTTGCCCTTATGATCCATTGTATGCCACACTTTGAGAACCACTGCCTTAAGGCTTTAAAATAACATCATACATTTCTCATGTTTGTCTTACAGGTTTAAAAAAATATTTGATATCCATTCCCTTTGAAATATTAAATATTTTATGCATTTTATATTTTGAGGTAAATCTTAAGTTTTTAAAAAAATTTTCACATAAGACTGAACGTTTTGAGATTAAAATGACACGATAACCCTGTCTCTTAAGGTGCAACTCCGCTCTATTAAAGAGGATATTCTTTCTTGGGTCAGTGCCAGTTCCAGTCCTAACTTTTCTCTTCATTATGCCTAATTGCAGGACGAGCTTTGGCCTGGGTTTTGGTACAAACTCTGAATGTAGGCAAACTATGAACTGAGAATTTTGGCTCATCAGTGATGTCTGGGAAAGCTTTGAATCTCTGTTTACTAACCTTACAAAAACTTTTAGAAACCTTTTCAAAATCTTGCTGAGGAAAATGTTCTTCAGGAGGCAGACTATCAAAGGAACAGTATTTGGAGCCAGAAAAGGTAGCATTCAAAGCTGTTGCATTTACCTTAGCCGAGGCCATTCCATCCATCAAGGACTACGGACACAATGCTCAGGACCTATCAAGTTTTCAAGGGCCAATAAAAATATTTGAGACTAGGAAGAAAAAAATGGACTTAGAATATTAAAAGAAAGCTGTAAAATTGAAACAATGTTTAATTAAATATCTCGAAAGTATACTATTATATCATCTTCATTAATTGTTAAATTTAGTATTAAAATTTCATTACATTTGGAAGCAATTTGTAGATTAGGTATTCTCTCTTTACAGAATTCCCAATTAAATTAGAGAGACAGCTTGTAGCAAATACTCCCTGAGGGTTAGTAACAGCTAAGTCTTAATGAGTGCATACCAGACATGGTCCTAAATATTAGCCTATTTAACTGAAGTTGAGAGAAGTCAAGTAATTTTTCTTTCTGCTAAAAAGTAGGCAGAGTCTATTTCAAATCTTTACTTTTTGGCTCCAGAGTCCATATATTTCACCTCTACTACTACACAATCATGATTAATAAAATACATATCTGTCAACTCAGAACAAGATGGACATTTCATTTTTAGAAAAATCACACTATAGAGTTATAGAAGACACTTTGATTACAATTTTATCTGTTTAGCAATCTGAAAAAGATTTGGTTGGTTATATTTTATCAAAGCTACAGGAAGCAGAAATTTGTGAAGACGTTAGAAGTTGAACAATCTCTAATTCGAGTAAGTAAAGATGAACATTTAGAGGCTTTTCCTGACTTATTGTAGTAATAGTATAACAGCTGTAATAAAGAATAATAGATTTTTAAATTTTGCAACTAAAAATGTTCAGGTCTACTGATTATTTTTATAAAACAAATTAATCTACTAGGTTCGATACAAACATAAACCTGTCTGGGTTTCTAGTTACTTGCTTATCACTGTTAATGAAAGGCACCTCGTCCTATCTGGGGCTTGTTGGACAGTGAAAAGCTGTAGTGAGAGGATATAAGCCTGTTGATTTGGGTGAAGTTGAGAGAGCAGTCAAAATGTGCATGACTAACAGGAAAAGAGCTGACTCCCTCTCTTTGAGTTCTTGCCAGAGATATGGAAACATTTAGAAATAAAATAGCATGGCAGACTGGAGCCTAGCAGTAGATTCTTACTGAGGAATATGTTCTCCAGGAAGCAGATTTTTACAGGAATGATATTTGGAGGCAGAGAGGTTAGACTTCAAGGCAGTCCCATTTACTGACTCTTGTACTCTCAGTCAAGTTACTAACCTTTCCCAAGCCTATAAAATGGGATAATACAGCACCTATTTCATAGAGTTGTTTTGAGGAGTAAAGTGCTCAATATTCGTAAACTCTTTTGCTCCTCCTTTCTGACCATCTCCTCCTCACTCTTCTTTCAAATGAAAGAAGGAATTGGTTAAGAGCTTTAAGTTTTAGCTTTACTTTCTCTCTCAGTCTCTTATTCTGCCTTTCATTCTTTCTCAGTAAAGAGGCCACTCCACCATCTGTATGACCAAGGCATAAAGCATGTACTGCTCGCTGTTCTATATACCACGTAGATAAAGAATTTGGATTAGAAGAACACCAGAATGCAGCAAACAAGATGGGACAAACCAGTATTCTGTCTCCTAGTATAGCTAGTACAGCTAGTACAACCAGCTATGGTGGTTAGGCAGACTGGCATGGAATAACTATTGGAGAGGTGGCTCTAATAATAGGTAATATAATTAATATTTAAAATGCTAGTGTTTTTGAGTAAGTTAACTATAAATTAATTATGGTAGAGCCAAGATTATCAATGTAAAAGCTTTTACATTGTCCTTTACCATATGTTTTTTTGAGTGAATGGGTAGAGTTATAGCTATCCTGCTAACAAACTGTACATTATTTCTAACCTTTATATTAAAACCTATAGTCTCTACTATTCCTTATGTACCCTAGTGGTTATAACCGTAAAAAATTATCAACAGTCTTTTACTTCTCCCATAAAATTTGAGGGCCAGGTTATTACAAGAACCTGAGCCCTCACTCCTGACTATCACCTGTCATGTGCAGAGTGAGATAAAAGATTGAGGGAACAGGAACCAGGAAGGTCTTTCAAATTTGATCAAGGTAGCTGACCCAAAAGGATAAGAATGTGTTAATCAGCAAGCTTAAATCTGGTGTTACATAAGCCAAGTAGTTATAAAGTATCCCAAAGTGAAGCCATCTTCTACTTTTCATTCTTTCTAGCCATGAGGAGTAGAAAAGAAAGATTGACATCAGAGCTGTTGTTGCACTGGACCAAGGGATGGAGAGGAAAGCAAAGACATAGCATTTATAAGCAGGATGAGTCAGGCAATGATGTCTCACTATCTGCTGAATGATGCGATGGAGCTCAGTGACATTGATGAGGCAACCTGGCTAGAGATACTTGGGGTGAGAGGGCTGCTTCCATTCTGTGGTGTCAATAAATGTTCATGATGACACTTTAAAATCATATGAAACCTGGAGCCAAAACAATAAGATACACATCTCTAAAGAAAGGATGGAATTATAATTTTCATTCATATAATATTTGGTAGCAAGAATTTACTTTATCATATTAGTGAAAATTGTGGTCTATTTCTGGAATGCCCTTCATGTATTTTTCACCCAGGCAGATTTCTACTCTACCTTTAGGAGACATTCAGGTAACATTTTCTTGTCCTGCCTGTTCTCCATGATCCTCCATGTAGTGTTACTAGAGCTCCCAACAGGTTCTGAGTCTCCACCTAGCAGTGATCGACATACTGTATTGTTATTGTTGATGTTCCAATCCCCCCTTGCTTTTCAATTCTATATCTCCAGTGTGAAAAGCTTAACACATAGTTGGTGCTCAATATATCTTTATTTAATGAATGAGTGAATGAATGTATTAGCGGATGATTGTTGATATACACTGGAACTTTCCTGAGCCTATTTCTTTTTACAAAAATTTTTATATTTGCATTTTTTTCAATTATAGTTGACATACAATATTATATTAGTTTCAGATGTACAACACAGTAGTTAGACACTTATATAACATATGAAGTGATCACCCCGATAAATCCAGTACCCATCTGACACCATACATAGTTATTACAATACTACTGACTATATACCCCATGTATGCTCTATATCCCCATGACTATTTTGTAACTACCAATTTGTACCTCTTAATCCTCTCCCGTCTTCATTCATCTTCCTGCCTC